AATTTCAGCTTGCTTCTGCTTTTCATCCAGCAGCAACCCCTCCCACATGGTATTTGCACTGCTCACTCCGAAAACCTGAAGCCTGCCTCATCACGACTTTCCTTCCTCCCCACTGGGCAAACGCTTCGGTCTGCTGCTCTTCAGTCGCTATTACACAGCAAATAGGCGAGAGTCGCATTTTCCTCCCTTGTTGGCAGATGACATCAGTAGTCACACTGAGGGCAACCTTACACACTTTATCATAGCAAAAACCAGTGTATGTAACTAGCCAGGGGAAGCTTAAGAAAGCAGTATGCACAATTCTCCCTTTAAAAAAATAATGGGATCAAGTTTAATAGTGACAAGTCAAGAACATCTTTGGAAAGAACAAGTAAGTGTGCACACAGAAGATGGGGAACAACTGGTTAGATAGAAGAATCCTTCTGCAAAGGAAGATTCTGGTCAGTCATGAACTTAATACATGTCAACCACGGTATGCTGCTGCAAAGAAGGCAAATACAACCAAAACCATAGAAGTAAGTTAAGAAGCAATTCTTCCATAGTACTCAGCATTGGTAAAACTTGAACTAGAACTCTCCATCCCACTTGCATGCTGGTGGTGAGAGAGGCTGGAACCAGCCTGGGGCAGTACAGAACAGAAAGCTTGCTCATCATAGAAAAGCCTGAGCAAGCCCGAGTCACGCAAACTGGAGAGGGCTTAAGGAAGGCATCAGGCTGCTCAGGACCTTGTCCACCTGAGTTGTGAACACCTGCGAGAAAACACAGACCGCACAGCCTCCGAGAGCGACCTGCTCCAGGGCTTAACCACTCCCATGGTCACCACTTGTGTCCTTCTACCTAGCTGGAATATCCTTGCTGCTGCTTGTGACCACCGCCTCTTGCCCTTTAGCTGTGAGCCTGAGAAGAGTCTGGCTCTGTCTTCTCCCCACTGGGTAGATGAAGACAGCAATTAGCCTCCCTTTAGTCTTCCCATCTTCAGGCTGAACAAGCTTAGCCCTCTCAGCCCTCACCGGATCATCATATGCCTCTGCCTCCTGACCTGTTCTAATGGCACTCCACGGGACTTCAGTTTGTCAGCACATGCGTGCCAATGCAGTCCTGTATGCTGCGCGCCTTCATCAAAACATGCCTTGCCATCCAGCCTACCAGAAAAAATGTGAAATACAAGAACAAGACACTTAGGTAGGTTATACAGTATCTTCCATAGGAGATTAGGAACGTATTATGAAGCCAAAATAACAGTACAAAACAAACCAATAACCCACGTGTGCCAGAAACGAGGCAGTGTGCTGCTAAGGCAGGGAGCAAACCACCTTCAGTTCTTCCAGTCCTGAGATCCTCTCTCTGATCACTACATCAAAGCAGTGTCAGAAAAAACTTTATTTCTAGAAGATATTTTTCTTGTCCTAAAATATGAGGATTTCTGATATTTTTCACCCGAACGGACTAATGGTTTACCAGAAGTGTGAAAAACTCAGAACTGCTTTCCAGTGAGCTGAACTCTGTTACCTTTCCTGTCCGGCTGTGTCCCAAAGCTGGAGATGCACCTTGAAGGCTTTTCCTGGAGATCCATTTGGTCCTCTGCTGTTGTATACCTAACGAGAGAGTCAAATCAGTACAGCCATACAGCTCACACTGAAATCCATCGCATGGGTCACAGACTTATATTTTGTGCAAGCGATAAGTAAGGAGTAAAAGCTCAGTCCTTCAGTAAAAGCTGACTCTTACCTCTAAAAGCCACTTCAGAGGGCCGCTTATGATAATATTTAAAAACCCAGGAGCCACATGAAACGTCTATGAAAGCTGCACTTTAAAGATAATTTAGTCATATTTAGCACTTCAAATTAGATACCAATTCTTTAAAACTTGGCATAGCACTGTGCTGAGCAAGCTGTCTGTGTTCTGTTTCATTGCTGTTCTCACAAAATTTACAGCTGACTGACAGGATTAACCACTATTATAAAAAGCTATTTTTTCTTCATTAACTTCTGTTGGACATTAATGACTTCCTTACTAACTGCAACTGCAAACTCATAGTGCTTAAAGAAATCACTGTGACCTTTCGCTGGGGTTCAATTCTTTATTAAGCAGAAACAGCGTGTAAATTAGCTGTTGCAGTAAAAGACAGAGGGATAAAATAAGTATGAGCCGTTTCAGTTATCTGAGGTAGTTTAGCAGACTCTCAGCAACTTTAAAAGCAGGCCAATATTGCCCTTGCATTTAGATCAAGAGAATATGGACTTTATGGACACGTCTGTATCCAGGGGCTGCACTGACCTTACCCGGGGAAGCGGAACACTTCCTCACCTGCCCTCCCTGGACTGTAAAATACAGCGGTTAGTTCTCCTGCACAACCAAGTTAATATTAATTGGGGGCTGGACTAGGTGACCTCTGGAGGTCCATTCCAGCCTAGACTATTCTGTGATTCTGTGGACTTATGTAAACTATTGTCATTTCAACAGGTAGCTTCTGACTGCAGCGTGCCTTTTTTTCCTTTGTGGCAGGTCCCTGATCTGAAAACCAGAAAAGAATGAACAGATCAACCGCACCACATTTGGGAATTAAACTGGTTTGCTGGAGCATGTTCCTGTAATATTTAGTGTGATAAACAAGGAATCTCACAGGGTCATTTTTTTAATATGACTTTTACACAACAGAAGAACATATTTAACCTTTTGGATCTCTTTCTTAGAAGACAATTTATTAGATTAAATCTAAATATTAGATTTATTATTCATTAGACCTTCAAGACATTTCAAAGCTGGTAATTTCATGTAAGATGTAGTTTATCCCACAGTTATAAACTATCTTACCCCAAAATGTACGGTAATGGAAAATTATGGAAGAAATCTGTCTGCAACCTTTAGCAGAAAAGTTCAACCTTCTGGAAAGAATCCAGCACCCATGTTCAAAACACAT